CCCAGGCAACACAGTGAGACTCTGTCTCAAAAAAAAAAAAAAAATTTACCTTTGATTATTTAAAGTTATCTACACAGTAAGTAATTTTCTTAAGAGAACACTATGTAATAATATAATAAAGGAAACAAATATAAAAGTCTAAACTACAAAACTATAAATGGATGAATAAGAGCGATTTGAGTTTTGAAGTCAAATGGAATCTTTCAAAGAAGATGCTAAGAGTTTGTGGGGGTTAAGGGAATTTATAACCTTTGGTGTGTTCTTGAATGAAAGAGGTAGGGAGGTATTTGTTGCTTTTATTACAGCCTCTGGGCAGAGGTTCATTGCCCTGAAAAGAAAAGAGAATTTGCCCAAATTGCCCTAGTGTGGCCTGGTCTATGAAGCCACTGAGGATGAAATACTAAATCGTTGCAGATTCCAGTTTATCTATCTTTTTGACCAACAAAACTCTCAGTGGCTTGCTCTTAACTCCTTAGAGAGACATTGTCTAATGAAAACTTTGGATATCTTAAAATACTCGAGTGAAAGTACAAAACTTAGTTTAAAGAGGATTCGTGATACACTTCTGGGTGAGAATTGGTGTCTTCAAATGAGTTTAGAGACTGCATCAAATTTAAAAGGTAGGCTGAGCCATTTGACCTTGGCAATGCTTCATTAATTTTCAGGCCCACTTGAATTTTTTTCTCCTCCACTTCCTTCACTAGTAATTTTTTTTTCCCCTTCAGGCTTCCCATACTAAAATTATAAACCTATAAAACAATTGGTTAGGATAGAGAAACAAAAGAACAAGACAACACGTTTTTATTTACTGACAACCTGAATTCAGATGCCTGATGATAAAAGCCCTTAGTCTGTCCTTCATCTAATTCTCTCCTTTGGATTTCGGAAACCTACAAAGGTTATTGATCAAAGCTCCTTCCCACTGGGAGTTCACAGTTTAATCTCCAAATCCAGGTGAGAAATACCCTCATTTATGAAAGCAACTGCAAATTAAAGTCTAATAGTATCAAAACCATATCCACTACATTTAGTCAAAAATGCTTCAGCGTGAACTTCTGACACTTAGAAAGAAAGAAACTGCTTTTAAAAGTGTGGTGTTTTTCCACTGTCCTCACCAGTTCCCTAGGGAAATTCCAAGGGGAAGAGACCAGGGATAAAGAGCTTTTTGTATTTCTCTTGGTTTTAACTGCTAAAACAATTTTTGTTCCATTAGGTTTGTAAAGCGAGATCCTTCAGAGTGAATTTACACAACAGCCTCTGAGTTTATGAATTCATCACAACTAACTTAGTCTTCCCATGTCTAAAAACAAATTGCTGACTTCTCACAAGTTCCAATATCTACTTGTGCACTGCCTTGAAAATTGTTAAATGTAAAATTATGCCAGGATTACAAAGTCTATTCAATTAGCGTGGTATGTAGCATGCAATAAATAGTTACCAGCTGATCTTTCCTCCGTTTACTCAAATTGAGTTCAACATCAATCTAATCTTTAAGATACAGGTAGCTAAACACCATTTGAAATAGCCCCTAGAGGTCATCTGGCCATTAGCCGCTAGACAGAATGGATCGCCTAAAAGGCTTGAGGAATGACAAATGCCTTGAGATAGTCTCTAACTGCTTACCCAAAGTATCCCCCAGGGTTGCTTATCAATGATTTTCCTGCTATCCTTTTCATATTCAAAAAACGGGAATGGTTTGTAGAAGTTTGGCTAACCCGCCTTCCGTAGCAATAAATACTGTGAAACTCCTAAAAAAGCAAACCCACTGGAAAATTGCTGCCTCGCTGCAAGAAATAAACTCCCAAGTGGTTAAACTCAGCTCTGCCACCTTCCCAATTCTGTCTCCAAATTCCTAGAATGGCAGACCAATGCACCACACCACCACACTGCCAGACAGCGCAGTGCTAGCAGACCAACAAGGACATGTGTAAACCGAACCCCAAATAAAGAGTTGTCAAAATTTGAACGAGGGTTAAATTTCATTATTTCATGGGATCTGAAATTTTTAGAAACTATTATAAACCAATATATTTAATAGATACGAGAGGCCCAAAACAGTAAATTGAAAATGAATATTTGACATGCTAAATCCAGTCTGCAGGTGACTGACAGGTCTGTAGATCTCAAATTTGCAAAGATCAGAAATATTAAAAAGTCAAGTAAAAACAACCACTGTATAAATAATGAACACAAGTTCTCAAATTGTAAGGAATGTTATTTTAGGCCAGCTCATGCAAGACTCTTGTGTATATTGATAGAAATAGCTACAGTATCTCTTCACAATAATCTTACAAAATGTTATCATTGCCCCGTTTCATAGGCAACAAAACTGAATATTGAAAGAGCTTACATAATTTGCCCAAGTTCACACAGCCATGGAGGTTTGAAGTTATTTGGACTAACAGGCAGAGAAGAGGACCAATTAAAGGTTATGAAGAAAAAAATTCCATCCTGGCCCAAAAAAGGCCAGTTCCAGAGTCACCATAGTAGATGCCACTGCGTTCAAGCTTTTAGCCTATAATCAACCCATATTGAAACCAGATTTATGAGCCCTTCAGAGGAGAGCTTTGTGATTTTCTAAAGCAGACATGTTTGGTATTTCAGAAGGTCAAACCCCCTATGGTGCAGTGTTTTTAATAAAATCAGTTCAGCAGAAATTAGAGACACACCAGTCAATTTCTAGGAAGCCTCTGAGCCATTCAAACTAAGGGGGGAAAATAACATAAAAGACCTAACTATGCACAGATCAATGTTCTCAAAACGGGTAGCACGTAAGGGGTGTAGATACAGAAACATCTTGGCAATTTTTGTCCCATTTGTCTCTAGTTTGGGCAAATTTCCACCCAGAAAGAAAAATTACTTTGCAGGGGGAGTTACATGATGTTGTACACAAGGGTTGTTCTGGGGTCGCCTGGCTTCGTGGCAACAGCAAACATCTCTTGGGGGAGGGAACAGATAAACCAGTCACCACCCGCATTCCCTGCATCAGGCACATCAGCTAATCTCCTGCTCCTGGCAATTGCTACACTCTCAGGGGGAAGCAAAAGCAAATTCTATGTGTAGTTCATAGTAAAATTCAAAGTTGAGAAACCTGCAATATTTTCATCGAAAAGCCAGGTTATGCACAGACCTAACCCTAAGACTGGTGGTGAGGATGCATAAATACCCAATGAGTATCTAAAAGGAGAGGATTTTGTTTTTAGGGGGAAGACAAGGATGACCCCTTATGCAGCTGAACTTGAGCCCCAGAAAACTCAGCGTGAGAGGCCACAAGCACAGTGCTTGTTTCAGAGCGTATGACTTTAAACTCTTCATTGTTTTATTTCCTAAAGAATTGCTGAGTTCCCAGCTAACTGGTACTTGGGAGAAATGGGATGAGCAGGGAATAACGTAAGGGCAAAAAGCCGAGGAAAAAAATTTGACTACACCCAGCTGATATGAAGATGAACCATATTTATACCAGCTGTAAGAACCACTGAGCGTGTATAATGGAGCAAAAAGTCTCTCAATCCTCAAGCTGCAAAACTGCTATAACTTGACTGAGAGTCGGAGTGGGGGTGAGGATGGAAATTTCACTAACTGCTAATTTTGATCGATTCTCTTTGGTAGGTTTAACAATTCTTGAGCTGCCTCAAATATTGTCATATATAAAACTTAACACCTTTTATATATTATAAGGCATGCATGCAAGAGCCATTGATCTCAAAAAGCGTAATACAAATGCTATCATTTATTAAAATGTGTATTTATTCCATAGCCTAATTTGTTTGGGGTAGATGGTCTCTTAACTATTAAATAATCTAGGTACTTATTTTTATACTAATCATTTCAACTTAGACTCTTCCATGAACTTGGCTACTGCACTTGTCTTCTTAAGGGACCCAAATTATGCTTAGCATAAAATACTCTAGCATTGAATATGCAAAAAAATCTTTAAAAAGCATTAATAAAACCCCATACTTAAATATGCGGGCTGTAGGTTGATTTTTAAGCAAAAATTTCAAATACACGAAAGAATTGAGAAAAACTCCACGACAAAATTATTCACACATTTAAGATAAGAAAGATCCATTTGGAGAGGGAAGCACATAAATGTGGTAAAAGGTTTAAATTCAGGCTGGCCAGTTACCAGACAGAAAGTCTTACAAGAGGAAACATCATTACTTAGTAGTATTAGTTATTGGCTAAAGCCAGTGCCCTTTTTGGTTATAGGAATAAAATGATCATTTAGGAGGAAGAAACCTAGTAACGCTCTGTTGTTTAAATCTCAATCAGTATATAAGGTTTACTCTTCCGAACCTTTCTAAGGACTGGGAGAAGTTAAAATAAAAAAATGTGAGGGGGTAACACTGTATTGAAGAACAAGTTTTAAAAACTAAGAGCATTTGCAATAGTTTGGCTAATTTGGGAGCCAAAATATTTCAATTTGGCTGGGCAAATTAAAATAAACTGGTCAGACAAAATAAACTGGTCAATTAATCAACAGTTAAAGTAGACAGTAGACAAAAAAAAACTTTCATTTAGTTAGGGTTTTTTTCTTTCTTTTTTGGATGGAGGTAGACACACCTAAAAAGGTGTTCCAGAGCAACTGATCAAGTCAATAAATGCCACCTTTGCTGAGGCAACTTCAGAAATTGATCCATCAAGTTCAACCTTGTATAAATAAGTTTAAGATCTCTCTTAGAGAAAAGCTAAAAACTAGAATTATCCTAACAAAAAATGTGGGTAAGACACTGAACGATGGTCAGGACACATTCAGAAACTCTCCATGCTATAAGATTAAACAAGACCTTGGCCTTGTTAGGAAAAAAAAATCAAGCCAGATCCTGTAGTTGAGAACCAGCTACTGTATGAGCAACAACTGATCTTCATTTGTACCACTAATATGCACATTCTTACACTTCCCAGTTTCTCGTTTACAAAAGACAACACTGGATTTCAGACAAAATATATATATTTCTTTTAAATCTTTACAATAAATCAAGATGTAGAAGTTTCCATAGAGCACATTTTCGTTTATTTAGGTACTCATTTCCAGCTCCCTCGGATGCGAATAGCCCTGGTAACAGTGTGTACATAGTCTTCTCTTTGCTTTTCACCATTTTAAAGCAAATAATACATCTGACTGTATTTAAGTCTGTGCAAATAATCCTTCAGAAGAAATATCCAAGATTCTGTTTGCAGAGGTCATTTTGTCTCTCAAAAATGATTAAATGAGTTTAATTTTACTTCAGATAAAGTGCTCCTGTCCAGCAGAACTCAAAGGCCTTCAAGCGTTCGAGAAGTTTTAGCTCAGGTAAGACTCCGTCATACGAACTCCAGCTTCCCGTGCCCACTGTACATGCCCCAGTGAACAAGCGAGAGGATCTTGTCGTTGCTGAGGTCCGCTTGTCTCATTTTATCACAGGTCAGACAGCAGTTCTCGTGCCCGCTGACCGGCACCATGCACTCCAGGTCCAACTTCGCAATCTGCCCCTTTTTGGAATGGTGTCCGTGGAAGCTATAGTGCAAACGGGAGAGCATCTGCTGCCTCTGGTCCTGCAGTCTCTTGTTTTCGCTGCGAAGCATCCTCAGGGCCAGAGTGATGAGCAACACTAAGATCAGCCCTCCAGCAATAGGGACAGCAATCACTGCTGCCCGGAACCACAGCTCTTTGGAAGAAGTCAGCTCCTGCACCTTGGTGATGAGGTTTCTGCCCCCCTCGTGCTGATAGCGGTTTCCTTGTCCTAAAGGAGCACAGAGAAAATGATCAGACTCTGTGTTAGCCCCTCCCAGGGATCTTCACCACCATCCATCCCTTTAAAACAAGGAATCCCATTAAAAAGCAGCTCACAATTAAATCAACGATATTTAGAAAATAAATATTGCAAAACTATCCAAAGAAGCTTATAAACGCATTTGTTTACAGACTGTCATTACTGAGATGTAATGGCCTTTTAATGTCTTCAAAATGTTGAAAAAACAGGCAAAACCTATTATGTAGACAGACATCTAATGCTCGGGTAGACATAAAAGCCACTCAATAGAGATGCATCTTTGCATCCAGCCGTGCCTCTCCCCCCAGTGTCTCTAATTACATTAACAACAAAATCAATAGCAGACATACAAAGTCGAGGCTGTCACAAGTCTATAGATCAGGCAGGCGTGCTGGTTAGAAACGGCTGCTATACCTGAGGCCTCACCCTTGGGAGGAGAGAGAACGTCGCGCAGCCCTCTGTAATTGCACATGTCTTCATGACAGCATTCCAATGTGGGCATGGTGGTGCCAGAGTGGTTTTGGGCCTGTTTGGCTTGGCAGACATCTGCTGTGCTCGCCAGAGAGTCCAGGCAGCCATGGGTGAGTGGGGAGTTTGTGTTCTGAGGATCAAGAAGTCTAGAGAAGCAGGCGCTGAGCTCAGATTTACACATATAACCAGTGGCCACACAGTGGGCAGCATCACAGTAGCATCGGATTTCACCTGAGAGCAAAGAGAAATCAGGTCAAATTGTGCTGTAGAGACCAGATAAAGCAACTCTCAAAGCAATTGCTGAATCCTAAGTTCAAAGGCACTAACTTTTAGATTATTCAAGCTGAGTGCTTACAATAGCAGTCCATGTTGACTGCAAAAGCCCTTTCTGCGGTCAGTACTTAAGTTTCAATTCAGTTAAATATAATTTTAGAAATGTAGTCATCCCAATAGCAGATTTCTGATGAGTTAAGAGAGGAATTAAAAATAAGACTATTTTCTTTGAAAGAAAACAGTAATCAGTATAATTTCTCCTACCATAAGGCAAATCACATTATTTATTCACTTTTAACCCTATATGACCATACAACATAAAAATGCTAGGCTTTTTGATTTGGGCAGTATAAATATTTGATCGGAACTACTGAATTGTTTACTATCCCGAAGGACTGCGCCAAGATTTAAGAGCTTTAGCTAACACCTTATAAAGTTATTAACTAGAAACACAACAATCTAGAAATTGCTCAGGTCAGGAGGTTTTAAAACTATGAAACGAGGCAGCTATTTGCAACCTCTCTAGAAAAGGCAAACTTTGCCTATAAAGATCTTTTCATGCAGAGGAGCTTTTAGTCAGTATATTGTAAAACAGGAACTAGGCAGTTTACAATTAGTGGTTTGCTTGCCAAAGTCAATTTCTTTCAGCCCAAATGGAAAGTCATAAAAGTGGAGGGGGTATAAAACTGCAAGGCTAACTTCTCCTCCTCCTCCTCCTCCCAGTTTTACGTGTAATTCAACATGTGATCTAAAAGGGGAAACCCTGAAACTGAAAATCCTCTGCTGGTTGAATGAAAAATCCTTAAGGAAACCTCAAATTTTCTACAGGAAGTGCTTAAAAGTTTCCTTTATAAAACTTACTTTGTGAGTTGCAAGGCTCTGTTAATGTTGTCACAATACAAGACTGGAGGCTTTAACATCAATCTCCAGTTGAAATAACCTGGGTCTTAAAGTTATCACTAATGTGACATCCAACTTGGTGGACTCCAGGCATTGTTACTTGTCACAGCTAAAGCTACTGTAAATTGAACTCATGCATACACCTATTGCATTCCTATCTGAAGATCTGTCTAGTTACTGAAATCCACACTCTGAAATTAAAGACAAGGGCTGCTCCTTTACAAACCTCTTTCCACCCCCTCCTTTTCCCCTCCTCCTCTCTGTGAATGCCTGAGTAAGGTGTCTCATTTAATTATCTGTCCAAATTCCAGGCCACCGTATGATATGCTCGGTTTTCACCGGAGGCTGCTAATGCTTCAGTTCTAAGAAAAACCAGCCCACTGAACAAAGATCTTTGGCAACCCCTAACAGTCCAAAGCTCGAGGTCCTGCTCCTAAATCTGCACTCACTGCCCTGGGTGTGGGCCCAAGATCCTTAGCCAGTCCCCTTGGTTTCAAGTAAGAACCTTGTGTTGCAGAAATTCTCTTCTGCTCTTTCTCCTCCTCTTTCCAAGCTTACTTTATTTTTCGCATAAAGCTCACCAGTCTTACGTGGTGATGACTACATAGCCCTAGTCTGACAAATTCCACATACAGATTTAAAACATAAATAAAACAGATTAAAAGCCCATTTTGATCCTATTAGCCTCAGACCTAGTGCAGAAAAGGAAAACTGAATACAAGTAAAACGCTGCTTAAATGTTTATGAGAGCCTATTTAAAATGCTATATTTTCAATGACCTAAAAACAGTCTAATAAAATTTTGACAGGTAACTGCAAAAGTTCTAACAACTTTTTTTTTAATTGGAGCCACATTTTTAGCAAGGAGAATGGACTTTTGTATTGCTGTATTAAAACTATATTTCTGTTGTTTCATAAAGTTTCTTCCTGTAGCATGCAAAAGGCCAGAGAGGGGACTGGTATTTTGAAACAGCGAACAATGCCCCTCTGTTCCCCCTTTTCTTGTTACTGTATGTAGTGATTAAACAAAAATGTCTGCTTTAGTCAAGATGGCTACAGGAGAGACTGCTGGCTTCTTTCAAAGCTTTTGAAGTCCACAGCAGCCAGAAATCTCTGATCCCCTAATTATATCATTATCAGGCACATAGTTTCGGTATCTGTGACTTCATGTCAGCCTCAGTCCCTCCCTGTTCTGCCAGCCTTTGATAGGGCCAGGAGGCTTCCCTCTGCAGGCTGCAAGGGCTGTTATTTAGGGTTAATTACACCCTTCCTTCCAAAATAAATAAATACTGTAGCACATCATCCTTGCCGGGCTAGCTTATCCTTTAACCTCATGCCTGCTACATGGCAATTAGAGAGAATTGGGGGGTGCAAAGGCTAAATAATGCTTCCTATTAAAAAAAAAATACATATATATCAGTTCACAGAAGTGTAGGTAGAGTTCATGACAGGGAGGTGAGAGGAACCTTGAAATCCAGAGGGAGTTTGGGTTATTTCCATCTAAAAGGTGAAAGCCCAAAGGGGAAAGAAACTGACCCCACTGACTTTTTTTTTTTTTTGGAGTTGCGTTTGTAAAGTATGAGGTGGATGGGAACTGGGACCGCCGACAGGACCGCCGGCTCCGGGCCACTTAAAAGCAACACAGCACACACTCCTGCACACAGGCGCGCACGCACCTCGGACATCCACACTCTCAGACCCACACCCTCCCTCGATCACAAGGACACACACAGGCACACACTCGGAGAGACGTACTCGGAGACACAAGCAGGGACAAACTCACACATAGATGCACTCAGAGACACACAAAGACAGAGACACACACGGAGATACAGAGACACGCAAAGACACTCAGAGACACACAAAGACACACTCAGAGACACACAAAGACTCTCAAAAACGTAGAGACACTCGCAGAAATACATTCAGAGATACACACAGGGACACACGGACACACCCGGGCACACTGCAGTCGGGGGCCGGAGACGCGGCTCCCTCGGGCCGCCCGGGCCACCGGGGTGCGGAGGGGGCGGCGCGGGGGCGACACTCCGCCCGGCTTCGCGGCTGGGGGGCAAATGCGCACGAGTCCGCCACGGACCGACCCGTTAAGACCCCTGAGGTCCGAGTCCGCACCGACGTGCCGGGCCCGGGAGCGCCGAGGGGGCGGCCGCGACTTCCAGGAACCGAGCAACTTGTCGCGACCTGCGGCTCCGGCGCGGAGGGAACCCGCCCGAGCTAACAAAGCCCCGCGCGCCTCCCCGGGCCCCGCGCCACCCCGCCGCCCGGCACCCACCTTTGGTGAGCAGCACGGCCATGGCGCAGAGCTCGAGCTGCAGCCAGACGAAGATGTAGCTGGAGTGGCGATCCATGGACGCCCCCACGGCCGCTACGGCCCCCGGCGCGCGCAGGGCATGGGTCCTGCCGGAGCGGCGGCGCCGTCAGCGGCGGGGCGAGGGGCCGGGCTGGGGCATGGAGCGCGGCTGCAGCGCGCGCGGGGAGCGGGCAGAAGTCGCGGGTCCCGCTGGGCGGCCGCCGGCCCCCGGCCCGCTCGTCCCCGACGCCGCCGCAGGCTGGGGAGCGCCCCGGCCTCCTGCCCCCTCGACCGGCCACTGCCCGCGAAGCCCGCAGGAGCTGCCCGCGCGCCGAGGGGACCCGCAGCGAGCTCCCGCCTGCGCCCGCCTCTGCCCCGCCGGCTCCGCGCCGTAAATAGCGCCCCGCGCCGGGAGCCGGTAGGCCCGCCCCGCCCAGGCCACGCCCACAGCCACGCCCCGACCCCGCCCTGGCAGCTCCGGGGCCGTCCGATTGGCAGCCGCGCTGCTGTCAATCAGCCCCACGGGGGCGGGCCGGGCGCGGGCGAGCGGGGACCTGCCCGGCGGCTCCCGGCGGCGCCGGCGTCTGGGCCGCGCCTGCAGCCAGCGTCTCCCGCGCTCCCCCTCGCGGAGGCCGGCGCGTCCGTGACCCTCGGGGGCGATGGGGCCGGCTTCCGGGTCCGCCTCGGGCGCTCGCCTCCGAGACCTCAGGCCCAGCCCCGAAGCGCGCGAGGGGCCCGGCGGGTGGCCGAGGCGGCTCCGCGGGGAGTCGGGGGGGCGCAGCGGGCGCTGGGGTCTCTCGGCCCCCTCCCCTCCCCCCAGCGTCGGCCCCGAGCCGCCCGTCCCGGGATCGATACGGCCCAGACAGACGGACTGCCGATCGGGGGGAGCCGCGGGTCCTCGGGCGGGCTGGGGACGGGGAGCCGGCCAGAGACACTTAGCGAAAATTAGCGAATCCGAAAGCGCCCGGCGCCAGCGAGACGACACCGGCCCAGACTGACACGCAATTAACCACCCCCAACAGTGGCGGCGACCACACCGGCCGACGCGGTCGATAGCAGCGCCCGGAGGTCTCCCCGAGATGCCGGCTCGTTTGCTGGGGCTCGCGGGGCCCCCGGCCCGCGCACCCGAGGCGCTCTTGGAGCCTGTGCTATTTGTTTATTATTTATTGACTTATTTATGTGGGGGGAGGGTAAGCTTAAAACTCAATATCCGAGGGCAATGCTGTTTTAGCCCCAAACCTGAGATTAACAAAAGTCAACCATTTACAAAGTTCCCTTTTCGGGTCAGCCAGCATTTCCCTACTTGGTATGTGGAAAGGGAGGTGGGGAGAAAAAGACAGAGAAGTGCATTTCATGCCACAGTGGGACTTAAAAAGTCGAGTCCTTCAGGACGAGAGTGCGGAAGCGAACTTTAAGGCTAAGAAAAAACATTCATATGTCTTGAGGACTGAAAATCAAGGTGAACATCTCTCGAGTGCCTTACCCTTGTAGTTTAAAGTTGTTTAAAGTGTGCAGAGCTGCAGGATGTAGCTAATGAAATTGCCTTTGAAAAACAATGTTTATATGCAGGAAAAAATAAAATAATTTCATAATGCTCTGACCATTACCTCACTAAATCAAAATTGCATCTAAAAGGAAGGAAAGACAAGCCCAGCAGAAGTTTTAAGAGAAAATGAAGCCGGTTAGGGAGCCAGGTAAACAGCAGGTTTCTCAAACAAACAGAAGTTTCTCAAGGGGCCTGCTGACGTGCTGACACTCAGTCCCGAGGAAGAAAGGGTTTGATTAGAACTTCCTCACTATTAGAGCTTGGACAAGTTAACAATTCTAAGGGGTTCGCCCAGACAATACTTTTCATGTAATGATACACTGTCTTTTAACTTTAGAAAGTCAATTGTTAACTAAAAGGAAACTTGTAGAGTGTATTCATTCAGCCATTCTGGAACTCCCACTGCAGGCCAAGCTCACTGTGTCTGAGTCATAAAGATGCCATAAATGGCTGGGCGTGGTGGCTCCTGCCTGTAATCCCAGCACTTTGGGAGGCCGAGGCAGGAGGATCACTTGAGGCTGCGAGCCTGAGACCAGCTTGGACAACTTAACAAGACCTTGGCTCTACAAAAAATTTTTTTTCAAAATTTTAATGTGAAAACCTAGACAGTAAATCTCAATGGAGTTGGATGATGATGATAGAGATTTGTGTGCAGGATGTTAGGATGCGTAAGAGAAAGAGGTAGCCTACCTAGGAAGGTAAAGGAGTCCAGGGAGATGAAGAGGATCACAGGAATTTGGGAATGAAATTGTTTGATTGTGGGGATGGGTAGGGGTGGTGAGGAGGGAATGGATAGATGGAACAATTCTTTGTGGCTAGAGCATAAAATGCAAAGGTATGGACAGAGACGTCCCAGAAATTAACTGTATTTACCTTTGATGCAGATAAACCCTGGTTTAATGGAAGAGGTCTGGGGGATGTGCTGGTGAAAAGTTGTATTTTAGTAAACAAAAAACGTCCCCATTCACTGCAGCGGGCATCAGCACCCAGACTAGGAGACTGTGCCCCTCTGTCCATAGCTGGTCACGTAACCCAGGCTGGGCCAGTTAGATTCTCTCCTCTTGGTCTTTGGACAGAGATGTCGGTCGGACTCTAGAGGTCATTTCACAGGGCACATATAAATTCAGATGTCAAGCAGCCGTAGTCCACCTGTCTGCAGCGAGGAGGAAAATGAGGAGGATGTGTAGAGTATCCAAAATGTAAATCCAAATGGATTTCCAGTCACTTGGCTTCGCTTCCTGTCCTTAGACTCAGTCATCTTAATAAGTTCCCCCTTTTACTTAAGGATCTTTTACTTGCAACCCAAAAGGCCCAAACAAAAATACTTGTATCTTATTGAATTAATATTGACTTGGATCATTCCAGCTTGCATACTTTTTTTGCTTCAAATACAATTCAGAATAAGATCTTGTGATCCATTCTTCAGACAGTGATAGCCACTCTTTTGTTTTTATTATTAATGGACAAACTTTTTAAATGACTAGAAATTATTTTTAAGAAAAACACCATCTGTACTTTATCTAATGGTTTTAGAGAAGAACTTTCAACTAAGCAAACGAGAGCGTTTGAATCCATTGTGGAAAATCAAAATTGGTTTAGGGATCCTATGTCAATTATGAGACTATATCAATAGTTGAGAGAATAGGCAACAATTTTAATTCAATTTAAGACTCTTAACAAAAATTGCTTCTCTATAGAATTTTACTTGTGCTTTATACATAATTTAGTTATTACTTTCCTACATGTAAGTTGATAAGTAGAGGAAAAAATAGTAAAAATCTACTCTTCTTTTGAATCAAGAAATGAAAGCAATGACCAAAATTCTCTTTACTCTTACAAAGTGAGTTCTCAAAATACAACCTGGGAACAAGCTATCTATATCCAGGAACAGAAAACTGATTCTAGATCTAACCGAAATAATTAACCACCATAATGGTTTTATTTTACTGTCTTTAAACAGTGTGCTAGATATAATTTATCCGTGGATACATGTACTATATAATCACAACATGCCACTGCAGGACATTTTTATGGTGGCCATACACCACAAAACCCACTTTGTTAACAAAACTGTAAATATTCTACCAATCTCTGCTTATCCAAATAATGCTGTTGTTTCCCAAAGTTATATGTGATCTCCATTTTCAGCAATGCCTCTCTCTCTTCACAATGCTGATTCAAAAAATAGCTCTTAGTACATTCTGTTCAAAAAGAAGGCAGTTGTGTTCAGGTTCCTGGCTAGCACACAAACAGCTATTGCAGCCTAGTGATAGAATCTAACATTTCTGCCTGTTATACAAATCTTTTACCAACTAACAATCCACAGAGGTTAGGTAACACTTTGAATTTCCAGTAGCAGCTTTAAAAAAAAAAAAAAAAAAAAAAAACCAGTTATTTGTTTTCAGTAGAAGTTAGGAGTTCAGATTTAAAATTTACTTTTATTGAAAAAGGTCAAAGGTGAGAGATTAGCTCAGCCCAAAGGAATGGCTGTCTACTTACAGTTTTTTTTTTTGTTGATTGGTTTTTTTGGTTGGTTTTTCTTTGGGTTTTGTTTTGTTTTGTTTTGTTTTTTGTCCAAAATGGAAAAGAAGATAAAGGACTGACTGTAGAATCTGGGAAATAGTGTGATAGTATTTGAAGGGACAAGATTGCAAGACTGAAGCTTGCGTTTCAAAATGCTCATCCTCCCACAGACTAGCAAAAATGCTCTGGGGTCTCTCGAACACGCCATAGAATAACTGTTGAGTTGAGGTTTTCTTAAGAATTTTTAAAGCTACTAAATTTAGAATACAGTAAGAATCGTTCCTAAAGATCATTACTTTAGAAACTTAACAGCAGGCATTTATAACCAAATAGTATCAAGTCATTCTTGGCGTCTGCATAAATCTTTATTCTATTTGGTTATGTTAATGTAACCCGTCAACTAGGCCAGTAGAACTTAAAATTATGCAGTAGCCTGCTAGTTTTGTCTGCTTGATGTCAAATTACCAGTTTGATTCCTTTTGTTTTGATTTAACTAAAATGATGAATTAATCTTTTAAAAGGGACAAATTACCTTACCCAAATTCCTACCTAACAGAATATCATTGACCCACAATGCTGTTCAGTGATGTAATGGATAGTATTTTTTAGCTTTCTCTCCTCAGCTGATAATACTTCACTTATGTTTTTTAGAATTAAAACAATTGTTCATGTACAAACTGCTGAAATCCAGAAGCTTTGATATTTTCATCCGACAGGCAAACGTTTAGACGCTTGCTTGAAATTGGCTGAAAACATGAATCCTTTCTCATGCCCTGCCCACACTTCCGCCTCTACCCACTCTTCTGCTCTTTGATGGTCCAATAATTACTTCTCTTATCCTAAAACCATTCTCTTCTAACACTGGCATCGCAGACTGAAGTCTCACTGACACAGCAGAATGAGTCTTTTGCAGTAGAGCTTTGAAATTACTTCTATCCACCATTATGTTCTGGTCACTGTCGTTGTTTTTATTTCATCATAATTTCTAAGGAGATAACTATATGGTATTT